AAGAGGCACACTATTTATCACTTAAAAGTCAGAAGTGGATAATCTCACAAAATGCCGAAATTCTTAAGAATAATTACTATACTTATGTACACGAATAAAAATGTTGTGGGTTTAAGGATAGGAATAAAGAGACAATTAAAAACAGCTTAACCAAGGCTACTCGCCTGCAAAGTTGTCAATTTTCAAAAAGAAATTCAATAAAGGTGTCAATAATAATATAATAAAATCAGCTGGCTGTACCTATAAAACAAATATTTGAAGGGCTGGCTGCGAAAACGGCAAAAGTGACTTTTTAGGGTATTTTGAAATTTTCGAAAAATTGACAAAAAAGCGCTTCAATCATTTGTTTCTGGTCTAAATAATCATGTTTGCTAGTTATTTGTTGTGATTTCCTTTTAAAAAGCGGAAAAAGTTGACATTTAGTTACGGACTGTACCCTCCCCTCCCCCCACACTTTACCATAGGGTTAGTTCCAGCCTTATGCAAGTGTTAGGATTCCTATAGCCTAAGACAGGGGCTAGGGTTCCTTGATTTAGGGTTAGGGTTAGAATGATTAGGGTTAAGGGTAGGGTAGGGTTAACGTTATCTAAGGGTTAGGCTCTAAAACCTGAGTTTGTAAAGCAAACAAACCTCCACCCCCCTCCTCCACGAGTCTAAACTTTGAAGTTTGTATAAAATCACTTAAGCAGYATGGATGACTGAGCTACTCATTTTGACATTGAAAAGCCAGTTAAGAGACAGTTAAAGTCACAAGGGCAAACAAGGGCAGTTTTGACTCTAATTCTTGTCTACAGTGAAAAAAGCACTATTTCGTTGTCATTTTTTCCTACAAAATTCTAGATTTCAACAAGCGAATGACTGTTTGTACCCAATTTTAGTCCTACTTCTTAGAGTAGTGACTAAAGGCAAAAAGGCTGCGAAAAAACTCATTTCTCGACTTCTTGCAGCACAGCTTCGAACCAAAACAAACCGACAAACCAACTGTCAAAGTCATGAGTTTAGTGCGAATATGCAAATCTAGGATATTTTACGGTCTAGCGATCAGTTGTCAAGCCAAAGAAGTCTGTAACTATGGGTCTGCTCCTTTTAGAAAGAAATCAGGAGAAATAAGTACCAAAAAGATTATTTAGACTGAAAATTAGTGATTGAAGTCGATTGAAGTATTTTTTTTGAATTTATCGAGAATTTCAAAAATACCCTAAAAAGTCACTTTGGCCGTTTCTGCAGCCGGCCCTTCATTTGTAGTTAGCTGAACATTCTCACCCTAAYGCTCTTGCTACTGGTTCTAGTTCTTGACACATGCATGCTCTGACTTCATAGTCAACATCTTGAGATAATGAAGTAACAAGGGTCATTAACTCCTTTTTGATCCTGGAATGAAACCATTCAATTGCCTTAAAACCAAATCACTTCAAGGATTGTATGCATGGAATAGGAAAATGAAAAATTGGACATTCCACAATTTCACAAATGGATTCCGAGTCTTTGAAACAAAACAACTATGGAAAGTAAGGCATCAGTGTAATATTCTATACTAGTATATTATGATTTAACTAACCAAAATGGCTCAAATTTTGGAGCAATATTTCCAAGAAGCTTACAGCTTGCAAGACGGCAAGTKACAGATTGTGAAAGCTGACCCTTTGCTATTGCTATGGGCAACACCTGGAATATTATGAAAGAACATGTTTATAATAGTGCTTGATATCAATTAACCACATCAGATTCCAATTCTTAGTTCCGACAAATCAAACGCGTTATATGTGTGTGTGAGATTGTCCCACAAAAAATGTAATTATAAAATTTTTGATATATAACGCACGCTTTGATTGGCTGACGACCATGTTTATATCAGAGGACAGAGACACGGCTTACCGGCAAAATTTGCTTTCTGCTCGAAAAAATTTTATAAAAGAAATATAAAAAGGCTGCTTGTGTCTCTGTCCTCTGATATAAACACGGTGGGAGTTGAAAAACACTCGAGAAGCAAGAGAAACACTCGCTACGCTCGTGTTCTTTAGCTTGCTTCTCTCGTGTTTTTCGAACGCTCACAGTGTTTATATCAGAGGACAGAGACACGCGAGTTGTTTTATATTTCTTAAACAGAGTCGGATCGGTGGGCTAAGTTGAGATGGTTTTGTGGTGTTGTTGGAGCACTTGTAAAGCAGATATCATTTATGAAAACTCAAAAAGCATTTGTGGGACAAGGCGGACAAGTTGCAAGCATTTGATTCGTGCACTTTCTTCTGATTGGCTAATCGCACGCTCACGCTTGATTTGTCGGAACCATGAATTCACTTGCCTCTCTTTTAATGATATCTTTTGGTAAATAATTTATGGAGAACAGTAGTGCTTCCAGCCATGCACTGGCTACAACTAGATCAGTAAAAGAAATATAACAAAAATGAAATTGTAACATAATTTGTGTGTCTACCCACAAATCAACAAGCAATTAAAAGGAGAAGGAAAACTGAAAGTAACTTGATTATTTAACTCATGAATAGTTGTCTCCAAACATACACTGTTCGACTAATAAACCTTTTTGTGGTTAGGAAGCAAGTTGCTTCAAATGTCAGAAAAATTATTTTTTATGATGAAAAAAAATCTTATAATTTTTGATGGAAAAGTGTTACAAATTCAGATTCCCTCAGTCTTTGCAGCATCTTCAGAACGCTGACATTAGCCATGAAGACCCTGGGCTCTTGATTGTTTTATTTTTCAATAAGTGCAACCTATTTTTATACTTATTCCCAATCTCATTTTTATTTTCAGAAAGGCCAAATGAAATAGTCAAATCAGCTATTCATATTACCACAGGAAGCCCATACATGTGATCTCTGATCGTCTAGTTYATTACACAGTTGTTTTTATTTCAGAATGTAAATCACCTCGTCTGCAACCATTATTAGATTGAACTATACCTGACAGAATTAATATTATTATATTTTATCATTTTTTTTCATGAAATTAAGGGGTTAATATAGCCATATATAGACCCACCTGAGTCTTTGTTTTCTATATTATGAAGGATGATAGACAATAATGATGAAGCAAACAGATAAATGGGAATTGAAGAAGTCTGAAGAATATTCATAAATGTCTTTGTTGCAGCTAGTTGTATGTGAACAGGTGCTATATGCAAGTAATCCTATGAAATAAATCCCACAAACAGCAATATTATTATTATCATCATCATCATCATCACCACCATCATCATTATTTTTAAAACTAATTGATATTATATTTGAAGGCAATATTATTTGTTAAAGAAACTACCAAACTGTGGAAAAAATGTGGAAGCAATATGAGTACACTTTACAAAAAAAAAGTAATCTGGAACTACAACTCACCCTTAACAATGGGATAACTCTGCGATTAACATCACTGCTGTTTGTTTCAAGTAGTTTTCCTAATTTATTCAAGACACTCAGTTTTTGTGTCTCTATACCAGAACTGAAAAATACAACACCATATTACAATAACATTGGACTTTTYAAACGCTGAATTATAATGTGGTACATAAAATGCATATTATTTATTATATGGCTTGTAAACATCCTGAATTCTGATTGGCTGACTTGCGGTCTGTCCAAAGCTGTATGGTATCAGTCCAACTTCCATATTTTCCGTAAGTTGGACTGGTGGAATTGATACATCTTTGTTTATAAGATTTGTGACATTTTTCTTTGCAATAAAAAGAATTTAAACAACATCCATCTTTTAATGATCTGAAAGAAAGATGGTTCAATTTCAACTACTCCCGCCTTTTTGTCCGCGCTCGCGTCTTAGCACTTGACTTTCCCGCTCTTTTCCGAGTTGACCGTACAGTTGTTATGCCAACGGCATCAATCCAGCTTAGAAATGCTCGATAAGTATTCACCACAATTCAAAGGATTGCCCAACAAGGATTATATTGGAAGAAAATCTCAATATTAAGTTGTAAAAGCTCAAAAGAAGCCTGAACGTAAGTCCACAAACTACTTAAAACAAAAAAGAAAAGCCAAAGGGATTGAAACCAGTGTCTTGGCAAGAATTAAATCCYCTTATAAAGTCTATTTTGCTCGATTCAATAACTCCTCAGTTGCTAGAAAAGAAAGAAAATTGTAATTCTATATTGAGAGATATCCGGACTTCGATGATTTTTAAGATGTAGTGTACTGAAAACACAAGAAAAGTTTGAATCAGTGTGAGCTCGTTCAAATGCCTAGCTTTCTCATTCAAAACACTCAGCTGAAATCAAGCGAAMTTTCAAGCACTTCGCAGTGTATAGTCCTTGTCTATCAAGTTTACTTTTGCAAATGCTTGATGCAATAACTCCTCGRTTGCTGGAAAAGAAAGAAAATTGCAATTTTATATTGAGGGACATCCACTTCGAAAAAGTAACTTAAACAAATCTACACCGGCGGCCGCGACGATAGAAGAATCAGTGAAAATTTGTGAGTAATCCGTAATGGTAATGTATTTGCGTATGAAAATAAACTGAATCTATGAAACAAGGAGCCAAAATTCCTGTCTTTTTAGCTGACAATTACTGAAAATATGATGATTTCTTTGTCATTTTACTCATATCGTGAGATATTTGAGAAAAGCGTTACCATTAGATAGAGGAAGGCAAAGGGTTGCAAGTTGACCAGTGAGCTTTCTCCTACATACTTTGAGTAATTCTTCTACATAATCTACGATGTAAAAGCCATATAAATAAACGAGTTATTAACCTCACTTGCTCGATCTGTACGGGAAAATATCAGACCTCGGTCTTTTATGTACGGACCTCAGTCTGATATTTTCCGGTACAGACCTCACGCTTGGTTAATAACCTCTTAATAGTACATGAGCGTGCAGAGATACGGATTTTATCTTCGAGTGTTGAAAAGATCTCTCACGAGTAAAAATACCTTTTTTCTTACTTCCATTATTTAGCGAAACCTCAAATGTGTTATTTTCACTAGTGAAAATATCAATTTTACGAAATGGAGAAATATAGGTATATCATAGATAATTATATGATAATAAGCTTTATCCAATCATTGTTTAATATCTTACATACATTTCAGTTATTTTCATATAGCCTAGAAATACAAGGTAGCATACTACACTTTTTAAACTCTTTGTTGTGCACGATTTTCTTCAGTTATTTTTGACAAATCACAAATTATTACATTTTAACTATTTGTTTTACTTTGTTTCACGTTAAAAAACAACAACATTTTACTGGATGAGTAGCCTGAACAAACACCCATCATTTATAACGTGATCACTTAAGTCCTTGTTCGACCAATGCTCTAAATCGGCAGAAATCAAGTACCCGTACGGTAACACAACGCTTGACACAGATACCAAGAAACATAGCACGTAAAAAAACATCCACACGTTTTCTGATTGTATAACTATGTGACATCCAGTCACCCGAAACATCTATAAACACTTTAAAGAAATAATGAACATTAACAAACATCAAAACTTCTAATCAACGTGTTGTGCAGCAATTATTACCCTCCATTGTCATGTTTACGGTTGCTTCGATACAGACACAACCTACCCAGAATGTAAATAAAACAMGTTCAAAAACTTCACTGCCGTTTGTTTGTTATTCTAAATATCATACACTAATAAAGTCCTGGACAAATAAAAACGCCATCCAGATASACCATAAACAAAGCACTCTAGTTGTAAATGTTTGCCGTATCTTTGCAACGTCTATCCTACCTAGTCTTTTCTCTTGATCTTTTTTCATAATTATAGTAGTAAGTTTATATTTTGACTGTACAGCAAGTTAAATAGATGCCAAGATGAAATGTGGCTTAACAAACAAGTCTATCTTGAAATAATTTTGTTTGCAAACTTAAAGTTAACGATGTAAGATTACCGATGATTTTCTAAAATAGCATGCTTTTTAGACAACGTACCTCATAAGAAAGACAGACCGTTCTATTTCGTCGAGGTTTTCGTCAACTGTCAGCCTCTCTATTTCTTCTGCCGACTAAAAACATKAAAWWCATCACAGAACATATTCTAGCAAACTTTTTATTGCTCTTGAAAATGTTATATCACATTATTTACCTTGAGTCCTCGTATAGAGCGCTCTGAACGCAATTCTTCAACATCCTCTTCTCCGAGAGGACCAGCTCCAGCCCAATCCATGTCAAGATCTTCTCCGTCTCCAAATCATCGTGAAATTTTAGTGGTTTAGAAAGTTATATGTCTACATCATTAAGTATATTAACTGCTCATTTACTACAAGCTAAATTCACATAATTTCAGCAATTATAAACTTCCCCAACAAACTTTGTCATTCGCCTCGCGACTCAGGCAGCATTCCCGGGATGCATTTGGTAAGACTACAAATCGATAACCAGTCGTGTTCCGATAAAATAACATTCAATAGCGTTTCGGCCAAAACATTCAAGATGGCGGCTTCCAATGGAGTTGTTTTGAGATTTTCCAAGATGCTGACAAGATCTATAGGAATTCGATGTATGAGCAAAGTAAGTTAAGTTAAAATTTGCTTAATCTTTGTCAATAATGCACAGTCAAATGCAAAGTTTATAGAAAATGCAAATCAGTGTTCTCCGGGATAAAGGTAAGTTAAGCATTTTCTCTTGAACCAATGAAATTTTGAACCAGTTTTAACAAGAAATCATTTGTAAAACAAAAGAAACGATTGGAAGGGTTCTTAGATACGTTTAAATTGCCCCATTTACATTGAAATAGGGTCGACCATTCTAGGTCGGTCACCCTATCAGAATGGTGACTAAGCTTAATTGTTTTTCGTGGTTTTGTTTGCATGTTATGCATGAGTCAATTGAAACCCCCGAAACCAACATCTCCCCCCATCCGGGCCTTAGCGGGGCATTCACTTTTTTATCAAGTGAATAATAGCGAATGCCCCAGTCATCAGGGACAATTTAACAKGTGAATTGACCCGGTTCTGTTGATGCATGGTGGTCATGTTGGTTAATACAATGTTTAAAATTAATATATCTCTGATAATTCTATCAAATTAGCATAGTATTACCTGGGTTATAAGATGATGTAAATACTAATTTTATCTATTTTTTTCTTCTTAGGATRTGAGAAAGGATTTTACTGAACTTGTAGGAAGGTATCTACTGTACTGATCATTATTTTGATGTTGAAGCAATTAGCCTGTAATAATAGAGTCAAATGATTATCGTCTTTCAGGACTCCACTTGTAAGACTTAACAAACTTAGTGATCAAACAGGTATGCTAGAATTGAACACCCTAAGATTAAGATTCCAAGAGAGTATCCATTATTTATTGCTTGGAAGGGGAGGCTTGTAAAATAATAAGAAGGTGAAAAAAGTTGAACTAGGGGAAGGTTTATCTTAATTTTTTTATATGGGTCAATCAGGTCTTGCTTTTCTTTAAAAGGGGAGGGGGGGGTCTTATAGATAATGAGAGAGTGGCAACAGGAAATGCTACCCCACAAATAATAACAAGAACCACTTCGTGGAACATACCATGTCCAGGCTACACTAATATATACTTTGACCAGTGCCGTGATCAATTTGATAGATTTTGCATATACATAATTTTTAATATCATTGCAGTGAAAATTTAGTATTCAGATTGCATTCGTATTATCCTCAGAGAATTTATAAGATGAAAGTTTGCTTTGCATAAAATGATTTTAGAAAAAAACAAAGAGTATATTTAAATTTTAAAGTTAAAGAAANTTGAAGCTGTACTGAATAATCATCGAGCTGGACTGGTGAGGAAGGCGAGACTATTTTCGATGCAAAATCGTCTTAAAATGATAACTAGCAAGCTTGAAACTTCACAAATGCAAAATCCTAGTTCAATTCTTCAATGAGAAAGCTTTTGGTATTTCTTGTTGATTTTTTGAGTACTTTTTTCTCTGTTATCGGCGAAGTACCTGCCATTTTGGATTCTTGAGAAAATTTTCAGTTCGAGAGAGACTGCAAACTAATAGATATGGCTTCCTGTGGTTCGAGAGAGACTGGAAACTTCGACACGACAGAAAAAAGGTAAAACTATAGCTGGCTAGCACAGCTAGCCCGCTAATGAGAGAGTGGCAACAGGAAATGCTACCCCACAAATAATAACAAGAACCACTTCGTGGAACATACCGTGTCCAGGCTACGCTAATATATACTTTGACCAGTGCCGTGATCAATTTGATAGATTTTGCATATACATAATTTTTAATATCATTGCAGTGAAAATTTAGTATTCAGATTGCATTCGTATTATCCTCAGAGAATTTATAAGATGAAAGTTTGCTTTGCATAAAATGATTTTAGAAAAAAACAAAGAGTATATTTAAATTTTAAAGTTAAAGAAAGAAAGAAGAAAAAATATTTAGAAGCTGCTCAGTTCGAGAATCGAACCCGAGATTGTCAGTTCAACGCCGCTATTAAAGCATGATCTTGCGTGTAAAATATGTAAAACAAATATCCACATGAAAAATAAGAAAAAGTAAAAAAAGAAGGAAAGAAAAAAGAATCGCTTAGAAGTGATCGAGTCGAGAATCAAACCCACGATCATAAGTTGGACGCTTTTCAAGTACGATAGTCAGTGTAAAAATCTAAATAATGGCTCGAAAATAATTGTTAAACAAATATATATATATATATACAGAAACAAAATTAACATGATTAAATAACAACCTCATTTAAACAGAAAGAAAAAAAGTGAATCGAGAATCAAGGCCACGATCCTAAGTTCGACGCTTTCGAGTTTATATTCTGTTTTAAATCAAAATAATGGCTAGAAAATAATTATTAAACAAAATCTACAGAAAATCAAGATGACTTTAACAGCTATATTATATTTAAAAAGAAAGAAGAAAAAGTGCTCGAGACGAGATTTGAACCTGCAATCCTCTGTTCAATGCCGCTGTTCGAGTAACATCTTGTTTATAAATTTAACAAAGTAACGTGRCTCATAAATATTGATAAAACAATTTGCTACGGTAAAAATCTAACATGACTAGAACACTTATATTTCAGTTAAAAAAAAAGAAAGAAAGAAGAAATAATTTTTCAGAAGTGCTCCATTAAATTATGGGTACCTTGGGATTGCTACTGCGACGTTTAGAACTGTGTTGCAGGCCTTCTGCCTGGACACAGTAATGARCACTCCCTAAAAATCAWTCATATTTACMCCATATAATAGAGCCTAGATAGTCATCTAGGTACATAGCTTGGCTGGGGCTGTATTCTGAAAATCAAAGCACAKTATCACAATTAACTATGCATGTCTGTGACATCTGACAAATTAGTTTATTTAAAAAAATAAAAAGAGCCTGTAATCTATTGATCATCTCAAACATCTCTCCAGAAACTGTGTATTCTTGCCTCTGAACCATTGATCTATAAATGTGTAGTAATGTATATCATAATCATTTAATGCTAGGTTGTGATATAACTATCAAAGCAGAACATCTTAACCCTGGAGGTTCAATTAAGGATAGGGCTGCATTATACCTAATAAAGGAAGCAGAAGAAAAAGGTACACAAGTAACAAACATTTCTAGAGCATTTACTGAGAAAGAACGTTTGGCGCAGTTCCTATAAAACAATATATATGTTGTAGTTCAGGTTCAATATGATTTTGAACCAGTTCAATTTCTTCTGAACTGGTTCGGTTTATTTTGAACCAGTCCAATATAACTCAATCCAGTACATCAGTTTAGGATTAGGTTTAAGGTTAGGTCTTGGGTTAGGTTTAGGGTTAGGTTTAGGGTTAGGTTTAGGGTTGAGCCAGCATTATATAAACATTTTCTTCATTAATAAATTACAATTAAGATAAAAACAATTTGCAAACATTGCTACCAACAAAATCCTTGATGGTATATTGGTAGTACTGTGGACTATGAAGCAAGAGTTCAGTGTTTCAAACCCTGATGAAGGTAAGTGTTATTCATAAATTAAAAATATAGAAAATATCAATATTTCTGTGGGGTATAGGGTAGGATAAACTAGGAAATAGTAGAAGGTAGAAAATAAGATGATAGATAGAAAATGGGAGAGAATGAGATGTGATATAGTTCTTTTATTTCTTTTAAGAATGCCAAAGCAAAAGACAAAAAAAAGACCAGTACAAGAAGTCTTGTACTGGAACAAATTAGATTAAACTGGTTCAAAAATATATTGAACCTGAACTACAACATATACACAACAAAGTGGACTATTGATTTCTTCAAGAATTTTTAAAGTGATGGTGTGTCCACCAAAGTTTTCATTCAATTCTTAGCTTGCAAAGTTTGTTAAAGAATAGCAAATATTTTCCTAGCAAACTTTAAGGCTTGCTTTTTGAGCAGAGACAGTGGGGTGGATGAATAATAACAATAGATCAAAATATCTATTAAATAAATATGCTCATCTACTTTCTTGTCATGATAGTATAAGCTCCAAATACATGTAGAAATCTAAGTCTTGTAAAAATTCATTTTCAACTTAATTTTAATTAGCACATATTAATTGTTTTATTTCTAGGTATACTCAAGACAGGTGGTATTGTAGTGGAAGGTACAGCAGGCAATACAGGTAATGTACTCTATGAATACATAAGCTATACCTAATTTTTATTTTCACCAAACATTTTATTTAGAGTTTTTCTCTTCAAGGCTCTKCAAATTAGCCTTTTGTTCCTAATATGTACTTCCCTCTCTCCAGCTTAAAAGTGGCCAAATTTCCATCTGAAGTTTATGCTCAGAATACCCAACTGTGTAATTAGTACATAATATTTATATTTTCCAGGAATAGGTCTTGCTCATATTTGTCTTGCCAAAGGTTATAAATGTGTTATTTACATGCCCAATAACCAGGCACAGGTTAGTAAAATTACTCTGAATTAAAATTATTTCCATAGATTGTGACATGCTGTAAATGTTCTAATGTGTTCTAGGAATATAGTCAAATGAACTGAACGACACTGGCRACATGACTTTGAATTTTTCATGGGAGTCTGAGTATGGCTCAGCTGGTTACTATTTATAAAACATTAAGTTTTTTATTGTGGCTTTTCAGTAAATAATGTTGAATAATAATCAGTCCTGCAAGCAATATAATTGTAAACTAATTAGTTTATTTACATATATATGATATCAAAGAGGCAAGATTTTGCTGTAACTCCGAGTTTCGTGCTACGCACTCATCAGACAGTATTTAAGATTTTGCTGTAACTCCGAGTTTCGTGCTACGCACTCATCAGACAGTATCAGTGCGTAGCACGAAACTCGGAGTTACAGCAAAATCTTGCCTCTTTGATATCATATATATAACTAGCTCTACACTTAATGTGTATTGAGCACTCTTTAATGGGATCAGCCACTCCCTCATACGATTAGTTTATTTACACATATAAATTTAAAACGTATATTGCCAATGCAAACACACAGAAATGCCATCAGGAATTCTGTTTACTAAGAAAAATCTATGTTTAATTAAAAATTTGTCTTTTCTTTCTGGCAAGGAGATGTTTAGTTAGCTCATTTCAGTGTACTGAATAAAACTTTACAAGTTGATTCTTTAGCATTATTCTCTATGATCAAAATGACCAAAAAAATCATCCCAGAAATCGCCAGTTTAAACAGGACTTAACAATCTTTTGAATGAAATAATATTATTCATCAGTAAATTATTTTAGGAAAAGATTGATTTACTTCAAGCTTTGGGAGCTGATGTGCGACCCGTTCCTGTTGTTCCTTTTGATGATCCAATGAACTACAACCATCAAGCAAGAAGATTCGCTGAGAATACTGAGAATGCTGTGTGGACAAATCAAGTAAGTTATACAACCAATTTACAAAATGTTTGGTGGTTTAAAAAATGCACAACAAAGCCAAAATGGATTAGGAGACCTTCTTGCAGTATAGCCATGGACTCCTCCTCCTTGGATGCTTACTAGATAGAACCACCAGGTTACCCACCTAATTCATTTCCAATGTTCATGCAATATTCATTTTCCATTCATCTACAGCATGTCAAGTGTGTTATAGTCAAGAAATGACAAGATATTTAATTATTTACACTTTGGATGTTATAGATATTTGTATTTCTTCTAGTTTGATAATACAGCAAATAGAAGAGCACATTTTGAAACAACTGGGCCAGAAATATGGCAACAAACAGATGGGCAAGTTGATGCAATAGTGTTTAGTACTGGAACAGGAGGAACGTTGGCAGGTACAAACTGTATAGTATCTTCATTATTTGACATTGATGGTGTTCTCAGCTGTTGTTGATGTCCAGGTACTGGGTCTTTTCTCAAATCAAAGAATCCCAATGTGAAAGTTATTTTAGCAGATCCACAGGTAATTCTAAGCATAACACCAATCCAGAAAAATTCAATTATTTTTTTTT